TAGTTAGCCATTTCCTTCTCCAGTTCATTTGACAGATGAAGAAACTGAGGCAAACAGGGGTAAGTGACTTGCCCAGGGTCACACAGCTAGCAAGTGTCTGAGGCCAGATTTGAACTCATGGAAAGGAGTCTTCCTGACTTCAGGTCCAGTTCTCTATCCATTGCACCACCTAGTTGCCCACCAATCTAGTTACTCTGGCTGAAAAAGGAATTAAGGTAAGTCTGGCATAACCTGTTCTTTAAATTCCATAGGCATTAATTAGGTACCTGTTATGTGTAAGTCACTGTCCTAGGGATACAAAAGCAGATATAAAATAGTCCCTGCCCTTAAGGAGGCTAGACTATAATGGTAAAACCATGCTGCCAGGCTCTTTATGACCACAGCTCTCATAAGTGTGGGTGCGCACACACACACACACACACACACACACACACACACACACACATACAGACAGACACACAGACATACACACACAATCTCTTTAATCATATGTTATAGAATTTTGCCAGAAATCTGTCATGTTCACTGGCCATAATTGTTTTATGTGTGCTATTCTTGTCTCAAGTAGATTATAAGTTCCTGGAGGGAAAGACAATGATTTACTCTTCTGTACCCGTCTACCACACCTAGCACAGGGTTAGGTCTTAGATAAGTGCTTAATAAATTATAATAATAGCTCACATTTATATGCTACTTTTTACAAGCCGCTTTCCTCACAACAGCCCCATGAGGTGGGTAATGTAAGTATTATTCTATTTTTCTGATGGGAGAGCTGGGTTCAGATAGACAACATGGCCTTCCCACAGTCGCACAGCTAGCAAGAAAAGGAGTCAAGGCTCTATCTCAAATCTTCAGCTTCAAAATCCAATGTTCTTTCCACTCCACTCTGCTCAAAATCTAATTTGATTAGATGCAACTCGACCTAATTCATGGTTGGGTGGTCCATGAGGCTGCCTCTATGTGAAATCTTTGATGTTCTTTGGGTCTAGATTTGAATTGTCATTCATTCATAAAAATCAGATCTCACTCTCAACAATGTACATCCTGGGGCAGCTAGGTGGTGCAGTAGATAGAGCACCCGCCCTGAAGTCAGGAGGACCTGAGTTCAAATCTGGCCTCAGACCAAACACTTGACACGTACTAGCTGTGTGACCCTGGGCAAGTCACTTAACCTCAATTGCCTAAACAAAAAAAAAGATGCACACCTAGCCAGTGTGATTTTGCACAGAACTCACCTTATTTTCCAGGACCTCCTGAGCAGAAGATGCTGCAGTCAGGCTGCCCTGAGACAGGGGGCTTGACCCATTCTCTTCCTTTTGGCATTCTTGGTCCAAGTCATGCAAGGAAAGTAGGAAAGTGGCTCGGGGTTTGAGGGTCTTTGGCCTCTCAGGTGCCTCAGAACTGCCATCTGTATTATAGCAGTTCCCCAGAGAAATCATGGAGATGGCATTGACCCTTCCAGAGTATTGGAAGCTTCTGTGCTGAGCATTGGGCCTGGGGCTCTGGGGTTTGGGACTCATAGGCTTGCAGGGCATGTCCTTGCTGTCATACACAGGGGAGCAGGGGGTAGCTAAGGGATGTGATCTGATGGACCGAGGGACTGCTGGGTGATTTCAGCCAGGCTTCTTCAGGAAAGACAGCCAAACTACTCCCCATTGTTTGCAGGGATTCTCCACTTTCTCGGGCAGTCATGCATTTGATGACTGGTTCACTTTTTCTCCTTTGATCTGGTGATGCCAAATCCCTGGCTGGCATGGGGAAGCAGGGGACTTGCAGAGGGACACAGGGAGCACTTAGAAACGTTTGCTCCTTGGACTGCCCCTCTTTGTCATTGGTTAGTTTCCCACCCTCAGCATTGACCCCTTGTAGAGGACAACTGGGGGATTGTAGGATTTCCCGAGACTGAGCCAGGCTTGCTAAGGCTGGCCTTCTCATTCCATCACTTTCTTTGCCTTTCAGTAGTGTTTTCCAGGAGCTTTGGCGGAGTTTGGTCTTTTCCTTTTCCATCTTAAGGGAACATCTAGAACTCTGGTCAGCATTCTCCTTCTCTAGACCTTTGGGCTCAAAGAAGTTAGAAAAGGATTTATGAGCAAAAGCCAACCTAGTCCTGATTTTCTTTTCTGTGCTTTTGAATCGCTTAGATTCATTACTTTCGGAGGACAGCCGTCTGGTAGCGAAATCTTCTGGTATCTCCATATCATTATTTTCTGGTAAGCTTAACCTGCCTCCTTTTTCTCTTCCCCCTTCCTTATCACATTTTGGATGGGGAATACTCATGTCTAAGTCTTCCAAAGGAATCCTGCCAGCCCCAGAAGCCCTCCTAAAACTAATCCTGTTAAATGGGCGTTTGTCATTGAGTTCTTCATCATCTGAACATTCCAAGGTGCAGTTCTCCTTGCTTGGGGTGATGATACTGGACAAGTCAGTGTTCAGTGCCTGAGGGCTCTGCTGCACCCCGTCATCTTTGCTTACATCTGGGTCCTCTACCTTCATCTTGCTGATGCGGGTGCTGCTACCTAAAATGTTTTCAACCCCTGAGGTTTTATTTTTCTTGAAGGAGGCCATCTTGGGAAAAACAAGGAACTTGGAGGGCCTTCCAGCTAGGCCAGTCTTGCTCCCTTTCGGTGCAGTCTTATAGTGGCTGACATTACTTCCCAAATGATGAAGGGAGGGTGCCTCCAGGTCTTCATAGTTGATGTTGCCAAAACTAATGTCAAGTAGTACAGGGGCAGTTGGATCTAAATTTTTTTCTTGACTAGGAGAGGCCTTGGGCACTGTAAGGCTATGGCTATGCTCATCAGCTTCTCCTTCTAAGACAGACCTCAGGTTGGTTTCCGTATCAGGAAAATAATCACCAGAGCTCAGTGGCCTCAGGTCTTTGTTCTCCCTTTCAATTCCTCCCCCTTTGGGGGTCTCTTCTGCATTAGTGGTGTCTCCCAAAGCTGCATCAGTGAGATTCAGACAACCAGATGTTTGAGTGGCATCTGTTTCCTCTAGAATCAAATGAGTCATACAGATGTCATGTTTGTTCTCTTTCTCTGGAGCCACATCTACTTGCTTTGTATCAAGTCTGGCCCCTGAGTTCTGGCTATCAACTAGCAACTCCCTTTCTGAGTGGTCATCCAGTCCATCATCTATATCCCCCTTCATACTCCCTGAGTGGAAGGACTCACTCCCTAGGATGCTGGAGTCATTTCCTTGTGGTCCTTCCAAAAGCAAGTTAGCATCACCCAGGGGCTCCTCTTCTGGGGCAGCATCAGGCCCCTGAGTTATTTCCAAAGCTGTTTCCTCAGCTACCTGTTGCCCCAAGTCTGTGTTCTCTCTGGGCACAACCAGAGACTCATTTTTGGTTTCCGAGATAGTTGATTCATGGAACCCGCATTCGGTGCCATCAGTTTCTACTTCCTCAACCCCACTAAGCCCACAGAGAGCTGAGCTGGCATCACTGGATGATCCTGAGTTTTCATCCTGGAAGCTTCCAAGGGTCTTACTAGGCCAAATTTCTGAAACAGAATTTGTAGGATTTGGTTTCCGCCTGGTATTCTGCAAACCCTTCTGCTCCACAGCTATAATGATGAGCCCTGATTTGCCCTTGGGGTTTTTCCCTGTCTTCTCAGGCTGCTGGAAAGCTGGAGGGGGTGTGGCCCTATCAGCTGATCCAGCAGCATATGTTTCATCCTCAGTGCTGGCTTCTGGCAAAGTGGTTCCAGTCACATCAGAATAATCTCCTGATGCCCTGTTTCTACAGCTGGGATCTGGTACCATAACCGTCTCTGCTTCCTTTGCAATATCTCTTTCACTTGATTTTAGTGTGGTCTCTGGATCATCTGAACTCAGATTCAGTCCAGAACAACCCATCGGGTCTCTATTCCCTGCCTGGGCCACACTGTTGTTCCACTGACTCAAGGATTGAAGCTCAATTTGTTTGAGGTTAGTGGAGAGACTTATTTTCTCACTTGGAACATCCCTTGCTGTATAATTACTGGTTTGATTTCCTGTCTTGACAGAAATATCTATGGGATGCTTTTGTTTATCACCCACACTGGTAGCTTTGGAGGTAGCATCAATGCCACGAAGCAACTCATGGGTTTCTCTGTCGTGTTTAGACCTGCAATCAGTGAGCCCAGGCAGTTTCTCAGCACTGATGCTCAATGACTCTGACGTGGGATGTGTAGAATTCTGGCACTGCTCTGAATCATGCCCCGACCAGCCTTTCAGCTTGAGGTCTTCCCCAGGCAGGCCTTTTCTAAATTAAAAGCATGCAGTTCTGGATGATCCTGTGGGTCAGTATCACCCGCAGTGGGTGGATGTGGGAGCTGGCTGGGCACAGGGTCTGGGCAAATGTGTAGTATTCTTAGAGCTTGCTCCACTTTTTTTGCTCCCTTAGAATGGCTCCCAAACTTGCCACACTCTTTTCTCCTGGGGCCCTCAGGACATCCTGTAGGAAAACTTGCTACAGATCTGGTCCTCCTAAGTGCACTTGGACACTGACGGCAGCATTCTGAAGGTCCCCTGCTTTGAGAACCAATATTTTCTGGAACGCTGTGCCATAGCTTAGTCCGTTGAAAGTTAGGGGTTCTGATGGAGGCCCAATGCGGCAGTCTTAGGCAGGGTGGGTATAAGGGCAAGTCTGTTTCTCCTCTTGTCTCTGGAATTTTCTTCCTTGTTCTTGAAAATAAAGAGGTTTCACTCTTATAGAATTTCCTCTCGGGACAACCTATGTGGGGCACTGACCCACGCCAAAGATGGGGTGCCAAATCTTCTTTGTTTCTTTTGGGGTCAAGTCTGTTATTCTCGAGGGAGCTATCTGACAAACTCCGGCCCCATTTGCAGGACCAGAAAGGAAACAGATGGGATGCTGGAGCACTCAGGAAGCTTTCTGGTTTGCGTTCCTCAAGAGGACTGTCTGAGATCCCTGTAGGACCTTTCACGGGGACCTCTTTGGCTGGTGGGAAGCTACCATCCTCTTTGCTGCTTTCTGATCCAATGTCAGTTTGTACAGGGATGGTCACAAGCAGAGATTCAAAAGGCAACTCGGGGTCCTGCTCTGGCTGGACCATTCTGTCTCTTCTGTCTGTCCTTTCTCAGTTCCTGCAGAGAATATAATTTCACCTCTGCATGTAGATCCCTTTAAGTCAGGAGGCAATTTCACCTGTTGCTCTGACCCAAGCCCCTGAGCATCAGCCAGATGAAATTCCTGAGGGGAATTGGCTGCCCCAACATCTGAAGACACATCGCATACTGCTTCTTTCTCACAAGCCAGGAGATATGGACTGGAGTAGGTTTCTGCTGTGATGTCACTGGGCAGTGAGTCGGTATCAGAAGCGCTCTCAAATGGCTCAGTTTTTACATCTGATGGACACTCACTCTGATGAGACTGGGTCTCAAAATAATCCTCATCAGTTTCCTGGCTCAGCCTTTGCTTGTCTACATCCACTGTAGCAGAGAGGAGCTGGTTGTCTTCCAATTCAACATCACCTGTGTAGGGTTCTGCTGGTTCTGGCGTCTGAGGACAAAAGAAAAGGATTCAGAAATAAGCAGATGCTCAGGTAGATCACGACACACTTATGCAGTCCCTTCCTTTATGAGAAGGTCAGGGAGACTCAGAAACGTCTCATCAACCTCTTGTACTCCTGTGAAGCAAGATACAGCTATTAATAACTACATTTTATTGATGAAGAAACAGAGAGGTTAATTAATGAATGCACAGTAAATGAGTAGTAAAACTGGACACAAATAGACAGGGGAGAAAAAAAAACCTCAAGTTAAAACCACTCATAAAAAGCATTCAGAATAGGTGTGAGTATTTATGCAGCACATTTAGAGGCTAAAGACTGAATTTTGGCTAATTTTGTAGAAAACAATGTTGTACCCAAGGGTATCTTTGGTGCTAAGTAAGCACCCTAAGCACAGGAAAAGAGGTTTATTGAGTCTGACTCCCTAATGTGAAATAAATACATGCATTTCTTGAAATGCAAGCCTATTTCCATATCATAAATACCTTAGTAAAGGCAGATGTCTTTATTTTTAACAAAAGAGTTTTGGAACAGAAAACTAAACAGTACACTATAATAATTTGCTTATTTTTCTTCCTTTAATGGACAAGTTTGGTTTTTCAATCATATAAACAGCTATGAATTTTGTGTAATACTATCCTATTTGGTCGATAACTAGAGGTCAAGCTTGCGTATAAGACATATGTAGTGCTGAGCACATTTTCTGAGATGGGAACCAGCCAAGATGGTGGAGCATGAGGAAGTAGAACAGCCTCACTTGCCCTATGACTACTCTGACAAAGATCTTAGAAGAACACCAGCCTGAGGAGGGATCAGAAAATCTAGCAAAACTGCAGTGGGTCGTCTTTCATGCAGTTTTATAGTTGTAGTTTAAACAAATTGTGGCATATGAATGTAATGGAATATTATTGTGAAACAAGAAATGAGGAATTTAGGAAAAAATGGGAAGAGTATTATGACCAGGAAAAGTAAAGCAGAAACAAGAGTACACTGTAAGACCCCTTTCAGAACTGCTTGAGGATAGATAGAGGTTGTGTTTTCTCTTTTGTGAGGTAACTAGGTAGTACAGCAGATAGAGAGCTAGGTCAAGAGTCAGGAAGACCTGAGTTCAAATGCAGCATCAGACACAAGCTGTGTGACCCTGGGCAAATCACCTAACCTCAGTTTCCTCAACAGCAAAATGGGGATAATAATCTGTCCCCTAGGGTTTTTGTGAGGATCAAATGAAATATTTGCAAATCTTAGCATACAGCCTGGCATACTAGGGGCTTAACAAATGCTTGTTTCCTTCTTCCCTTTAACCCTTTGTCTTCAGCAGTACCTAGCACAATGACCACAAGAATGTAAGTGAAAAGAACTTTAAAAGGCAGCTGAACTCAGATTATTTACAATTACCAATTTGGGTTGTAGGAAACAGAAGATGATTCCTTTTGAATGTGGCAGAATTGGGGAAGAAGCCGAGCATGTCTGTGTTGTTCTGGGTCTGGGGACTCTGGGAGGGCCCTGAGTTTTTTTTCTTCCTGGTGGACATAAAGGCTACAGCAAATCAATGCAACCCTTATTGGCTACTAAGGAGATGTCATGTAGACTGGCTGTCTCCCACCACCCTTGTTTTATCTATGGCACCCATGTTTCTTCTTCCTCATCCCAATCCCAAGTGCAAGCTACCATATAGGATGGGGGAGGGGATTAGTTAGAAAGCACAAAATGTACATAGTATGGATACACTAAAAGCAGAAGGAAAAAAGGGGAAAAATTATTTAAAGGAAAATGAACCCCTCTGTTGTACAGTCCTCTTGGTTCCCCCATTTTTCCCCTGTTCCCACAAATGTGCATATTCCCTGACTTTATATGAGTGACCATTCCACTGGAGAGTAGGGATCCAAGGTTTAGCCCTCGCAGGGAACATACTTGGGAGGAGGGGAAAATTGTTATTCACCAGGATGTAGAAATTCTTTGGCTATGCTCTTCATCCCCAAGACCCCTTTTCTGAGAAGTAAACAAGTAATGGCCATGTTTGAAAAAAAAAAAAAACCTTCCCTTTACCCATAACCCTGAGGAGAGAATCCAAGTGGTAAACTGTCCCTTTTTGGAAAACCATAGCACCCATCTGGCCTATGGGACCAGAGCATGTGTGTGAGCAGTACCCAGGGGGCCACTTTGTGTATCTTGGTTCAGCATCTATTTATCTCTATGTGCATATAAAGATAAATAGAAGTATAGTTTTGAGGTTTTTTGCTATTTGCGGTCAGATTTTTGAAGGAAGCAACTTCTATGATTACCTTTGTTGCTATTATTTAAAACTAGAGCTTCAGTATCAATGGCCAGGAGTTTGAGCTCTGCAGATTTTGATTTAACACAACAAAGCAATTATTTGTGGTAGCGGCAAGGGATGAAGGCTGAGTTACAACTTGACTACTGTGATACCTTTTACCAACAGCATCAAATCTGCTATTTGCGGTCAGATTTGGAACCTTATTTTGAATATGACTATAACTGTGTATTTTGTGGGAATGTTCAGAATATCTCCTCTGCAAAGGAGGGCACTGAAGATCTAGCTCTCTTTTCTGTAGAGAAGTGGGGGACCATTGGTACAAAATGTTGCATATGCCATCAGGTTTTGTTGCCTTTTAGTTCATCTTTGCATATAGCCAGGCCCCAACTAGTGCAAATTAATGAATCTCCTGAAGTGATTGCATGTATTCAAATTCACACTATTGGAAGTCATAATTATGTAAAATAGGATAATTGATTTCAGCCCCATGGAAACATGTGATCAGTTCAGGGGATTCATTATTTGTACTCATCTGGACCTAGATGTAATTGTTTTTCTTTATTACAAGGGAAGGATCACTAGTTTGGGGAATATCGGGAAACAATTGTGATATTTTAAAGAAGACATCAATGGATGAGATTACTAAGGTCCTTTTATAGCTCTAAATCTATAACCCAATGATGGTAACATTGAGAGACAGAAAGAGAGAGAGAGAGAGAGAGAGAGAGAGAGAGAGAGAGAGAGAGAGAGAGAGAGAGAGAGAGAGAGTTAATGGCTTGCCACTTGCCACAAGTGCCTTGTAAAACCCAGAAAAAATTGTAGGTACATGCATTGCATAAAAAAAGTGATCAATAAATATTTATTAAATTAGTTTAAAAAAAAATTTTAAGAGTTCATGCTGTCATGGCTCTCCTGGGAGAAGTGGTGGGCACATCTCATGATGCTGAAGCCAATGCTCAGGTGAGGGAATGGAAGGGGAACAGGTAAGGTTTACAAGACTATCACTGGCCGTCTTCCACAAACCAGAAGCTAGCAGCCCTGCATAGGAACTCTGGCTCTAAATACTACTGCTTCTTGCGCCGGAGCAGTGACTCCCAATATTTTTTATTCCATGAACCCCTTTTAACAAGAAAAAATGTGTTCAATCCCCCCAATAATTTAACATGATCTCATGATTGTCTTTTGGATTATTCAATTTAGTGCTTATAATAATTATAATAACTTTCACTCAAAAATACTCCAAATTAAAATTTACACTATATAATAATAATAAAATAGAAATTTTTTTAACGTAGTGGGCAATTATTTACTGCTTAAGGTGCCATTAAAGACTTTTTAGTGCAAACCCCTTGGGACCATCTAAGTGGAGCCACCGGCCTAGAATGAAATCAGACCAACAGAATCACATGTTTAGCTAGAAGGAATAGGCTTTCCCTTGGCATTCAGAGATCTAACCATGGTCTATGTGCTTTCCATAACAGTCTCTTCTCAGATGATCCAAATTGTACCTATTCTTGTAGAGAATCTACAATTCAATCTGTGAGCCTTCCAGATCCATCCATCCATCCATTCATTCATTCATTCATTCATCTATTCAGCAAATAGTAACTGATTGGTTAGAGCGGCAGATACAGGGATGACTAGGACCACAGATCCTGCCTTCATGGAGTTTATAGTAAAGAGAGATAAGCCAAGTACACAAACTTTTTCTTTTTAGGCAATTAGGGTTAAATGACTTGTCCAGGGTCACACAGCTAATACGTGTCAAGTGTTTGGTCTGAGGTTGGATCTGAACTCAGGTCCTCCTGACTTCAGGGCCAGTGCTCTGTCCACTGCGCCACAAACATTTTAGCAGGTCTTCTAGAAGCCGTACTTTTCCTAATAGTCCCAGAACAAGATCAGGACCAAACAAAGTATAATTAAAGTTTGCAGAAGAAGATTCAGGAGCTCTACCAGGAGGAATTAAATTCAATTCAGCAAGTTGTATTGAGTGCCAACTTGCATTGACCAACTCTCTGCTGAGCCCTATGGAAGATACAAGAGAGAACAGGATTCCAGCCCTCAAGGTGCTCACAATCTAGTTGGGAAGACAAAGTATGTACACACGTGGGACAAGCAGAGAGCAATACAAACCAGCAGGCCATCCATCATTGTTGGGTACAGGCCATAGTGATTCACAAAGGAGTCAAAAGGATTCAGTTCATAGCAGCTCACATGCTCTAGGTTTACAAAGTGCTTTATATACATTATCTTACTTGACCTTCATGACAATTCCTTAAGGTAGTGCTAGTATTTCCCCCATTTTACAGTGGAGGAAACTGAGGCTCAGAGAAGTTCCGGAACTTTTCTGTTGCAGGGCTAGTAAGCAGCGGAGTTTGACTAGAACCCAGGATTCCTTAACCTACAGCCAAGAGCTCTTCCTCTTACAGTGAAAGCTTCAGTTCTCACTCCCAGGAAGTGAAAGAGAAACATCACAGTAGAACAAGAGTTGGCCAGGGAGTGAGGAGATGGTTGTTTGACACTGACTCGATATATGACTCTGGCTGAGTTTCTTAGCCTTTCTATGACTGCACTTGTTGTCTATAAAATGGGACAATAACATCTGTCCCCTCCCCAAAACAAAGTTATTTAAGGAGTAATTAGATGGTGAGGATGAAAACAAGAATGTATAAAAATGCTCTGAAATAGGCCTGGCACCTAAAGAAAACATCACTT